TTTAGAATTTAAGGATAACGAATTAGCCGGCCTCTACTCTAATTTCATTTCGTCTAATAGTATTATTACCTTTTAATTTTTATTTAATTAGGAGATAAAGTGCCTTTATTTAATTAATTGTTAATAATTAAATATATTAGAATTTAATATTAATTATATCTAACCCTCCTAAGGAAATTAGAATTCTTTTTATTAATATTCTAATGAATTATATATAATTGTAAATTCCTCTTTTACTTAAAAATATAGGAACTTTTAAATTATTATTAGAAAATAGAATTCTATTAATTTTAAGAAATATTAGCCTATTAAGTACCTTAGAATTACTTATAAATTTAGTATAAATATTTATTTAAGTAAGGAGGATTAATTAATTACTAATCCCTTTAAATTTTAAGAAGCCTTCGAACCTATTTATTCCTTCTAATTCCTTTTAATATAAGCGTATACTATTAAACCCTATACTTATATCGTAGTAAAGATTATCCTTAATATCCGGATTTAAGAATTTTTATTTAATTAGAGAAATTCCTATTATTAGTTAAAATTTAGTAATTGATTAACTATAGGTAGTAGTACTATTTAATTTTAATTCCTATAAATTTATAGTAAATTCTTTAGTCTACTTTATTCGCTATATAGAGCGCAATTTAAATAACCTTCCTAAATACAATCCTAATAACCCTTCTTAAATTATAACGGAATTTAAAGAAAGATTTAATTTAAATATTCGTTTAAAACTATAAGGACCTTTATAATTTATTAGAACGATTTAGGACAATATTATTCGGAGAATAAATAATTATTTCCTTATTGAAGGCGTTAGAAAAAGATATTTAATTACGAAAAGTAAGAGAGGATATAGGGGTAATAGAAATAATAGAGGAAAGTACTAATTATATATATATATATATGTGAAGGTGAGTTTGTTTAGGGGACTTGTTGTAGATTTAAAGGGAAGATTTGATTTGGGGTGGTATATAGGAATATATATATTAGTTTTTAGTAGTGATTTTTTTTAAAAATTTTCAAAGTATATAGGATTAGGGAAGTACTTTCTAAATTAAATAAACCTAAATAATTAGTATAGAAAAAGAATAGAAAAAAAAGGAGATTGAATATAAGGAAATAAGATAGGAGATTAACGGAATATTAACCTTTCATTAAATTAAATAATTAATTTCTATTTCTTTAACGATTTTTAGTTATATAAAATTAATTTTTAATAGTCGTTAATTATTTATCTTTATTTATTTAATATACTAAATGATCCTTTATCTTTTTTAGGGAAATATTTATTTGTATCCCTATTTATATCCGAAAGAAAGATATAGAAAGATCCGATAATTACCCTCGTTTTCCGGCGAAAACTGAATATTAAGCCATTTAATAAATGCGTGACTCTAATAAATCGTATCTAACTTAATGCCTCCCATCTCGACTATTCAAAAAGACTTGAAAATTATCTACTACTCTACTTAATTAAACAGCTAAGAACTACGGTCCTTATACATCGTGCTGGTCGTGGTGGTGTTGGTGTTGTTGTTGTGGTTTTCTCGCCATTTCATTAATTATATACAAAGACTCTCTTCTTTTCGAATTATAATTTTATTATTTTGAATTATAATTCGTTTTTCCTTAGGGGTTATACTAAACTACTTATTAAAATTTAAATTATAATGTTAAGTATTAGTAAAGTACTTCTAAAAATATTTATTAAAATATTTTACTTAATTTAATATAATCTAAGTATTATTAAATACTATTTTAGAAACGTTGAACTTTATATTTAGATTAAAGTCTTAAAAAAAAACCCAATTAGTTATTGGATTAGTTTTGAGAATGTAATAAACTAGAATAGATTTACTAATAGTACTTTTAGTACTAATTAAAATTATTAATTTGTAATTAATAGAATTCGTAATTTAAGGTTAGAAAAAAATTAATATAATTAAAAAAAGAATAAAAAATAAAGGGCTACTTACTCTTCTTTTCTTTACTAATTTAATTATTAGAATTTTAATATTACTATTAAGTATAGTAATATAGTAGCCTATTTCATTAACATTCCAATAATTAAAAGAATTAATATAATACTTCTTTATTATTTTTTATAGTATATCGAAAAACTATTATACAAACTATATTTAGTATTTTATAGAAACCCTATCTAATTTTATTAGGTTAAATTTAGAAGGTTTAAACTAAGGATAATTCTTCTTCCATCTCCTATAAAAATATTTATTAATTAATAATTAAAGAGGGTTTTTATTTACTTGTAGATTATTAGTAGAAATAATAAGTAAATCTTTAATAGTTAAATTATAGGAATTAATAAATTAAAGAGTATATTTTTCTAATAATTAGTCTTCTACTTCTATAAGACTTATTAGACGGCCGCTAGACTTTCCTCTACTAGGCCTAATTAAGTATTAAAGGTACTAAAACCTATATTATAATTATTAATTATAGTAGCTAATTTAAGATTTTAATATACTAAATTTATAGGTAGTATTTTGAATTATAGGCTTTTTTTTAAATACTTTTAGAGAATCGTTACTATTATTATAATTAATTCTAGTATTAATAGTAGCCTAGAAGATACGAGTTTGGTTCTATATAATTCGTTAGTAGGAAATTAGAATATTAATTAGCTAAAAAGGTTATTATTATTATTATTATTATTATTACTATTATTATTATTATTACTATTATTGTTTATTATAGTAATATTATTAGTAATAAAGCTACTGGGCAGCTTTTTTAATTTAAAGCTCATTATTATTTTCGCTTTTATTATTATTAGTATCGTTAGTATTAGTATTAATAATATTGGAATTAGTATAAAGAGGATTGGAGAAAAGTTAGGAAATACTAGGATTTAATTTAGAAATAATTAAATCCTCTTTATTAGAATTCTTTCTAAGGTTAGAATTATTAAAATAAGGTATTTGAGTAAGGTTAGGGGGTAAATAAATAAGAGTAGAGTTAGGTTGGTTGAAGAAAAAAGAAAATTGAATGAATTAAAGAAAAAAAAAAAGAAAAAAATTAGAAAACTTACTTTCTTTATAGAAAAAAAACGAATAAATATTTTACTAATACTATGAAAGTAAAAGAGTTAGTTATATACGTAGTAAATATAATATTAATATATATCCGGCGTAAATATAAATATAAATATTAAAATATTAGTATATATTTATAAGAATATGAAGGTATACTATTTAATAATATACGTAATTAGTATCTAATTAAATTATATATTAGATTTATTTTATAAAGAAATATAAAACTAAAGTATAATAATAGTAATCGGACTTGAAATAGTGAAATTATAGGCTTCTAAATTTACTAAATAATAGTAAAATTCTAAATTAGAGATTGAAATTCTATAGTCCGTAGTAAATCGGCTTTTATAGTTATATATATGCAATAATATTAATAAGATAGAGAAAGTAAAGATGAAGAGAATATAGGTTAAAAGAATTTTTTTAGTCTAGGAATAGTAGATTTATAGCGTTACAAAGTCGGAGGGTAGGATTTTGCCCTTTTTGGGCTGCATTTTTGCTGTCCGTTTGGGTTTTGTCGTGTCCGGTGGTTTTGTCGCCAACTCTGTGGAGCAGAGTTGGAGACCCGACAGGAACCTGGACCCCTCTCCAACAAGTATTAGTTCATCCGCCCATTAGCTGGAGAACGGATCGAACAGCTAGAAACATAGCATCATTACGATTTATACTCGAGGCCAAACAATAGAAAGCAATCTCAATAAATCATGTCCACCGATCAAATGTTGTAATGCTTAAGACTGCGAGTACATCAGATTATTCCCAAAAGTTCTTTGCGTGGCAATTCTACATGGTGACTACCTAGCCGCATGGGAAGTATAGCCCTCAGAATCACGCAGGGCCATTCGAAACTCCCATAAATGAGACTAGGTAGCGGCCTAGATTCTCTCTCACCTGGGCCCCGATGGTGTCAACCACGGCAGGCTCGTGTGACTTCTCATTTCCCGTTCGTCCCACCTCAACAAAATCATCGATTTAGCACAACAGCTTCTTTGCTGAATTGGACCAACTATTACTCACTTTTCTTACTCAACCAGCCTCCCATTCAATAGCACATCTCTATCAGCCACTCATTGCACAGGTGTAACCACAACAAAACTAGTCAAAAAGGACACAAAGGAATTGTATTTAGTGAGCTGAGCCGAAAGATGCCGCTCATAGTCTGTCTACTGTACCTGCCTGGTTGTGGAGTAAGTCCCAACAAGCTGCCCCTGGGTAGAAGTAGTTGTATGTAGGGGGTCGATGGTGGTAGTAGTAAAATGGTATTAAGGCTGTGACAATGAAACAAAACCAACACTTATTGTGTGGTATTGGCCGATTGTGTGTTCGGCTGTTTCCTGTCACAACGAAGATCGTGTATCTATCCAGAATACGGACCCCCCCATCTAGTCTGGAAATCCGATACATGAACAAATAACACACTCTCGCACAAGTGGTGTTCCCTTTTGGGTTCACCATAGATCCTCGGGGGGAAAAAAAAAGGTGCCAGACAGTGAAACGCCTCGTGATCAGATTCGAGCCTTTCTACCATCACTATTATGCCTTTCTTTGCCTCGGGGGTAAAGTAAGAAGCCCGTCCGACCATAACGCCCAAACCAAACCGAAGTGGTTGCGCCGTACATCGTCGTCCGTTCGTTCCTTCACCTCGCCCCACTCTACTCTTGTAGAAGAGTGTTGGGTCTGATGTGAAAACAGCAAGCTTCATTTGTCTCATAACGTTCGTGGAGGTAACAAACAAGAAACCCGCTTTTGCCCCCAAGTAGAAATATCATTTTTTCCCGTCTCAAGGAAAATACGAAATAAGAGACACTCTTCGTCAGCTTCCGCCATCGTTGTCGAAGTGGAGAAGAAATATGGCCTTGTACGACCCCGCCCTCATTTAGGATGACTCCAAAAATGGTAGGTTGAGAAAAGTAGTTGAATAGAAAAAAAATTGAAACCAGATTATCGACATCCACGCCTGAATTAAGAGTGGTAACCGGTCGTCGTCAGTACAAAGAAAAAATTACACGGCGTGGCATTGTCGAGAACAGGGGAAGCCAATTGTCCCATTTTCCGTGCCGTCCTAGCTCCCATGGGTATTATGGCAATAAATTAAGCAAACCAAAACGCCGAAAAGAAAACCGCCCATTACCGCGTGATCTCGTGTGTACCAGATCATAGTCGTTTTCCTGGTACGAGAATGAACAAGACGCATAGCGCGGCGTCTACAACGGCAGTGACGGCGAGAACCACCATAGATCTCTGAGCGAGGAGTTTTCGGACGTATGGCTCCCGAACTCGGGAGAAGTTGAAAGGGGTATATTCACTGAGTCCGACAAGTGCGAGAATGGGGTCGAGTGAGTACTGATATGAACAGAGACAGTAAACTCCAATGGTGAAAGGCAGGATAACCTGGTAAACTGTTAGTAAGATAACCGAGATATCAACGAGATGCGGCCGGTTTGGTGACATACCCAACACCTTGTTTGGCGAGATTCGTTCAGGAAGATCAAAGTGAAGGCAGTCCAGAAGCCACCGAACATAGCCACAAGACCGATCATGAGGCGCAGCATCAATGTGGGGGGGATGAGGTTTCCGAGGGCCTTCATCCTAAGGAAGCCGGGGAACGCGTCCCTCTCCATGGCCTGAAACACATAATCCTTAGCCACGTCAAACACCTCCGGGTCATCGCGTCCATAATCCTCGATAGCAGTTGTGACATCCGAAGTGATGGAACCCGGAAGAGTGATCTCGCGTTCTGCGCCGGGAAGGAGAAAGGTGTAAAGAATCTTCTCGGCCGAGGCTCTGATATCGTCGCGCGCTACGGCATGCGCTGGGGAATTCGAGTCGGTAGTGAGTTCTCGCTGGTTGCTCAGGTTGCTCGGACGACCACGGCGGTCGGTGCTGCTTTGCGGGGACTCCTGAGTGATCGATCGATCCTCGCGCAGGAAGGCAGACATTTGCGCATCTTGATCCTTCTCCTTCTCTGACGCCCACATTGACGGTCCTGCGACGGGGTTCAAATCTCCCATGCTCTCAAGAATGGCGGATGATCGTTTGGAGCTTCGGTCGGGCTCAGGCGTACCAACAAGGACGGAACGTCGCAATTCGCGAACATAGTGACGGCATAGTGACATGTGTTGGGCGACATCGAGCCTGTCTCTGGTTAGGAGCTGCCATTGTCAACAAAGCACCGAGAGTTGGAAAAACCAACCAGAAATCGAGGTAGTCAACAGAGCGCTGCTGGTCTCTCATATAAATATAGAAAGAGAACAGATCGACGGGCGGAAGCGTCCGCCTGCTGAGGACCTCGAACAGGGTGGGGAGTCGGTTCCGATTAAGGTCGGGTTGAGGGGAGGGCGTGTGTGCTATGGGCTCCGTCATTTTGACGAGACGTGAACGGGACCTGGAACTCGACCTAAATTTGACGGCGGACGAGGGCGATATGATAACCCGAGGGACGGAGAGCGAAAGGGCGCCGGCGAAGAATGGGGTGGAGAGCGGGGCAAGAAAGCTGTATTGGCTGAAGGTTGTCCGAGGAGAGCAAGTTGTAAGTAGTGAGCAAAAGTGTGAATTTCGATCGATTGCGCGGTTCGGGAGCGATAAAGGTTTGACGTCAGTCGAGAATTTCGCGAGTCACGGTTGCCGGGTGCACGAGAAAAGGAGTTTGATTCAATCGAGACTTTGCTTTTTAATTTCTTGGCGATTATGTTCTTTTCTTGTCAAAAACGAATGTGGTTTGCGCGCAACGCTCTCGGATAGAGTGATTTGGTCTGGACACAGCGATGGCTGCAAGTCGGCAGTTTGTTGGGTAGGTAACGAATGACGAGTTGGAAAGTTGGGTGTGGTTGACGACGGAAGTCGGGTCGGGTGCAGAGCAACGAGTGACGGGAATGGAACGAATGACGGGAGTTGACGAAGGGACGGGGTGTTGGGACTTTAGGTAGGTAAGTACTACTTAGGACGTGGGAATGCGTGGATGTGGTGAACGAACAGGCTTTGCGAGGCCCACCGTCTTTTGGCGCAGGCTCATCAGGCACTGGTGACAAAACTAACAGCCCGAGGACGACAGGGCAATCGCGAAGCATGGAAACAGGGCAGCATGAATTGTTGATCTCAAGGTGCACTAGGTGCAACAGCAGTCTCCCTGGCGAGCACCAGGGAGATTGCAGAGGTCACTCGGAAATTGAAAGCTTTGGGGGACGGACGAGTAGTGCTGTGCCAGCTGTCGGCTGGACGACAGATGGCAGAAGTGGTGGGGGCTCGACTTTGCCAGCCGTCCTTCCGTTTAGGGTAAGGTAAGCGAGGCGAGTTGAGCCCAGGTCCGCACTTTCCAGATTTCGTGGAAAAATCCGGTGCAAAATTCATTGGGAGGTTTATCGTTTGCCGCAGCACCCAACGACTTCGACGACTCTCACCCGACCACCGAGTGTACGAGACACCGCCATCTCCAAAGTACGTAACTACGGCCCCTCCTATTTTTGCCCGTCCAATTTCGAGTCAGCCGTTCGCCAGCTCTCGAGACACGGCCCTGCTTCGCGGAACCCCTCCTTTGCTAACAAGCTGTTCAGAATGTCGTCCAAGAAGCCCACCGGTAAGACCCAGCGCTCGGCCATCGCCGACGTTGTCGCCCGCGAGTACACCATCCACATGCACAAGCGCGTAAGCAGTACCGAACAATCGACCCGACGAAAGAAGACGGAATATTGACCCTGGCGCAGATGCACGGTGTCACCTTCAAGAAGAGGGCTCCTCGCGCCATCAAGGAGATCAAGGAGTTCGCTTACAAGGCGATGGTACGTGCAGCGACGAACACCAACCCGATCTGGAGGAACTGGAGCTATGGAGACGACATTGGAGTTGGGGACACAGCGTGGTCAGTTTGAACGAACACCAAAGACTGACATGACTCTGTGATTTATAGGGTACCACCGATGTCCGCATCGACCCCCAGCTCAACAAGAAGGTCTGGGAGCAGGGTGTCAAGGGCGTTGCCTACCGTCTCCGTGTCCGTATCTCGCGCCGCCGTAACGACGAGGAGGGCGCCAAGGAGAAGCTCTACAGCTACGTCCAGGCCGTCAACGTGAAGAACCCCAAGGGTCTCCACACCGTTGTCGTTGAGGAGTAAATTTGGGTGTTCTGGCAAAACGAATTTTTGGCACGAAGGGACCGCGGTTCAGGTTCAGGGCGGCATTGGGCTTCCGGAGTTTTCGCATGGCATCTAGCTTCGCATTACGAATAAAGGGTTCGTAAAATGGAACACGGCACCTTCGATACCACCAAACCGCCTCCAGCAACGATGAGGGAAGACAATCGCAGTGTGAGGGCGTCGCAGATGGTCAGGCAGGGGCTTCGACATGAAAAATGATACGCTCTATGGACGATATACTGTCCATTACAACCAATGCTTGATGTACTTCATAAAGCCAGTCTGCAACCGGTAGCAGACGCGAGCAACAACGGGATACCCATTAAACAAACCCGCCCTGATAATGCAATCCTGTTCCAGAGACCAATACGCCAGGGATTCCAACCTGAACAAACCAATTTTCTCCTAACCCAATGCTCTCCTAAACTGTTCCTGCATTTCGCCTTCAGTCGTCGTCAATGTCCCTGTGACGGTCCATGACCTTGGTCTTGAACAAAGCCGGGTCCTTGTCCCAAAGCTCAGCCGCCTCGCCGTTGAGCGGGGAAGCGCTGTGATATATGTTAGCTCTCGTCTCGTAGATCTGAATGAGAGAGCATGTGAAGTCCTTACTTGTTCGGCTCTCCAAGCAGGGATTGCAAGCTCAGCAGGACGGTCTGAGTGTTGTAAGCAGCAGTCCACTTATCCTTGAGGATGTCGAGACAGATGCGTCCAGAAAAGTCCACGTTGGGATGGTAGATCGGGGTTCTGAACAGCACCGTAGGCGGCGCGTAAGGATAATTCGCAGGAAATTCAAAACTAAGCTTGAAGGTGAGGCCGGCATAAGGGGTATCCTCAGGTCCCTCGATGGTGGCCCGCCACGAAAGGAGATTGCCGTCGGCAGAGGGGAAGGCAGACACGCCCGGCGCCGGCGATGTCATTAGCTGCATAAGCTCCGTCTGCAATCTGTTTGCAGTCATTAACAGTCAGTGGCCGATACATCAACATGTTCATTGTCTATCAAACATGCACCAGCTCAGTGAAAAGTGGACTGACCTCTTGACGGCATTTTGACTGGGGTCGATATTCTTCCTAGCGCCGAAAGTGGGCGCAGAGTTCTGGATATCTCCCATGTTTGGTGTAGGATAACCAGTCTGTGTCGGCGAACTGAAAAGCAGGCGAAGAGGCTAATATCGCAAAACAAAGAAGACCAATATCTGGTGGATAATCGAGGTGAAGGTTGATAAAAGTACTAACTGAACAGGTTAATAAAGACTTATAAACCGCGAGGTGAAGGGCGACGTACCTGCAACCAGGGAGGGGCGGCGCCAACCTTAGGAGATGTATGAAGGTTGAGATGGGGGATGGGAGGCGCAAAGAACAAAATGTAGTTTGGCAGTTGACGCCAAGCTTGGAGGGACGGAACTGACGAGATGCAAATATTAAATCACCAATGTTTACACGACTGCAGAAACGGACCAGCCTCCAACGAACCCCACAGCTGACTAGGTTACCGCGGGAGGGTCCCCAGCAACCGTGATGGGCCCGAGCGTTGCTGTCAGGGGAAAGATTTAAGGGCATGCATGAACTTCTTTGCAGGTTCCCAGGCCGCAAGGCAGTCGCGGCGCGTGGAAATAGTGGACAGTTCGCGCTCCAATCCCTCCAAGGCGTTTCCCGGATCCCCTTTCTCAACCAAACAAACCGGGACTCTGGACGAGGGGTCATCATCTTGTCAACACGCGGCCTGCATTTGCACGTGAAGTGTCCATAGTGTTTGTACAACACCCGCCAGAGCAAGTGAGGTTAGCTGAGTGTTCACATGTGGTGAACGTCTGAATACGCGACTCTCTTCCTCTGACACGCTCTTGGCATTCACCGTTCTGTTGTCCATCAAAATGGTGAGTGCTTTTTGCCTCCACCTTTCCATCTCGATCTGCGCTTTTCCTTTTTAGGAACTTTGTTTTGGTTTGATAATTCTATGTAGGCGGCTCTCGCCACTTGCTTGCGCCAGGCATCAGCCTAACACTTATACAAACCAACCCAGCCACCACTCTTGATGGAAACACACAATTGATTGTGACTGCGCACGAACCGACGGAGAGCATTCCTTCAAACCCTTGAACTTTCTTGAGATCCCGCATACTTTTTGTCTATCTCACTTGTACTCTAATCTTCGTAATCGTAATTGCGTCCGTTATTGACGGCAAAATGCAACAGTCTCAGCTGGACCCTCTTCCTTCAGATCTTCCTTTCCGCATCATCTCCAAGACCATCGGACGGGGAGCATACGCCTCGTGAGTACTTTAATCTCTGACCCATCGTGCTGCTGCGCTTTCACTGACCAAATGTCTCAGAATAAAAAAGGCGATACCCCTCGACGCACCGTCACCGGTATTTGCCGTCAAGCTCATCCACAAGGAGTATGCCGTAAGACATGGCAGGATATCGGCGAAGCAGATTGCCATGGAGGTATCGCTACACTCACATATTGGCCAGCATCCAAACGTGATTGAGTGGTTCGCTACTGGCGAAGACAGGATCTGGAGATGGATTGCCATGGAGTATGCTGAAGGAGGTGACCTTTTCGACAAGATTGAGGCAGATGTTGGCCTGGAGGAAGATATTGCTCACCTCTACTTTCAGCAACTGATCAGCGGCGTCAGTTTTATGCATTCAAAGGGCGTTGCCCATCGCGACCTCAAACCCGAGAACATCCTCCTTTCCGAGAGCGGCATCCTGAAAATCGCAGACTTTGGTATGGCCACCATGTTCGAATACAAGGGTGCACGAAAACAGAGTTCGACCATGTGCGGGAGCCCGCCTTACATCGCTCCGGAGGTTTTACATTGCGCGAGGCAGAGGGAACGAAGGGCACCATCGTCCGAGCAGACCAAGTACTCGGCCGATCTTGTCGATATCTGGTCCTGCGGCGTCATCCTCTTCGTCCTCCTGGTCGGCAACACCCCCTGGGACGAGCCCACTCACGGTAACTGGGAGTTCAAAGAATATGTCCGCACAAGCGGCCGGAGCACCGACCCGCTCTGGCAACGCGTGCCCTCTGACGCCCTCTCGCTCCTCCGGGGCATGATGAACATCGAAGCCAACAAACGCTTCTCCTTCACCCAGATCCGCCAACACCCCTGGTACACGCGGCACAACCCGCTGTTGAACGCTGAAGGCATGGTTATTGACCCCATCGCGCTCGCTGCCCAAATGCTCGCCCGTCTCCGCATCGACCTTCGCGCCGCCGTCTTCCAACCGCCACCGGCTTCTCAGCCTGACTCCGCCATCGAAAGCGACTGGTCCAGCAAGGTTCTGTCCGCAACGCAACCCGAGACCCCGATAAACGACGCCCTCTTTGACTGGGAACGCCCTGCGCCCCGGACGCTCGGTTCCTGCGCCATCTCTTCGACCCAGCCGGTCGCGCGTAACGACGCCGCGGCCGTCAACCTGACCGCCACCACTCCCCGCACAACCATGACAACCATGATGACCCCCAACAGCATGCCCAGCAGTACTGCTTCCAAGAATAAAATCCCCTACTCCTCGGCCCTCGAAGCCCTAGCCGACGAGCCCACCATGAGCCAGTTCTCTGCCGTGCCCGGCGTGCCGCTTTCCCTGACGCAACACGCCCGCCGCTTCCGCGACATCGTCCCCTCATACTCGCTCACGCGCTTCTTCTCGCACGTGCCACCCGCTCTGCTGGTACAAATGCTCCGCGACGCGCTGCACCAGCTCAATGTACCGCTGCCGTCAACATCACCTAATACCTCCTTTGAGGGTGATTTGGATCATATTGTCACGCTCAAGATCAAGACGGTTGATGGGCGCAGGCAGAGCTTGCATGGTGATATATTAGTTGATCGGTATCATTTGGTTTACGGGAATGGGACGTCATCGATGCAGTTCGGTGGTGGGGGAGGATATGGTGGGATGAACGTCGATGAGGAGGAGGAATTGCCGGAGTTGTTGGAGGTGAGGTTTGTCAAGATCAAGGGGGATCCGTTGGAGTGGAGGAGGTTCTTCAAGAAGGTAGCTGTGCTTTGTCGGGATGGCATTTGGAATAATAATGACTGAGAGAGAGAGACCAGACTGTTTGTGGTGGTGGGAGACTAAGTTATGGGCAAGGAGAGAGAAGCTTTCTGGATGATGGGGGTTTGGGTACCTACCTACTTAGGCTTCTGGATCCCGCTGGATTGGAAGTGATTCTTGCATTACAAACTTTGTTGCTTGGTGTTGTGGTATCCTAACATATTTCTTTGGCATGTTCGGCGTTTTGTACATAGGTATGAAGAAGTAGAGAGGTGGAGAATACTGACGTGCCCCCCATCAAGGACTTTCATAGGTAGAGGATAAATTTGATGATAGGCTACGGTCTCGCTGAGTAACTTGGTCATGCAAAGTTAATGTTCAGTCCTTTTTTGTATAATGTAGAACGGCGAAAAATGCCAAAATCCCTAGTGAATTAACCAATCCGTCAAACGAACGACTTTTGGTCTACCGTGCTGTCTGATGATACTGCCTAAAAAGAGCTTGTCGTGTTGCCCTGCACTACTCCTGTCTGCCAACAATCTCAACGTGAAAACTGAAGTAAACCATACGAAGATAAATTTGGAAACACAGATGATATGCCCCCTGACGCCCGTTGCCTAACGTCTTGTGACTCCATCGCAATGCCGCTGAATGATGTATATATGGCGATCGTGTTGTTGGTGCTGATGATACTGATAGTACCGATGCTATGCGTGGATAAAAGTTGCTCATATGTACTTGATAACTGCTAGAGTTCATTTTTTAACAAGTTTAAATCTTCCATGCTCTGGTACTTTGACGCTAATGTTTTTTTCTTTTTTTTCCCTTCTCAATCGATTATATGTATGGTATGATGATCATACCTCCAGACCTTTTTGAAGCCTGGGGCATTAATTGAAACGTATAAACGGGCTCCTTTCATCGGCAGTACAAAAGGATCGGACAGGCTGGATCCACCAGCTGCTGGTGCTGGCACTGGTGTTGTTGTTGTTGATGAAACTACCGCTTCTGGTGTTGGTTTGGTAGTAGTTCTCATGAAATGCGTGAGAACTGCCACTATTAGGAGTAGTGTTGTAACTCCTAACCTCGATAGCCGTCGCATGATCCCTTCGTTGCTCCATGATCCCGGAACATGGGTAGAAGCTGTGCTCCCTCCGCTCGAAACGTTCAGATCCGTGGGATCTATTGTTGTCGTTCGATCCTCCAACCCGAAACCGTTCCAAATCCGCTTCCGCCTCGCTCAAGTAGAGCGCACTCTCCGGACCTGCCCAGTCATCCACCAGTTTCGCAATCGTCAGAAACCCCTTGGTGTGTCCACCACACTCTCTAGCTCGAAACCCGCGGCAGATGAACAGGTAGCTGTGAATCAACTCATGAAGAAAGGTCGATATAAGCAGTCGTCGACTGTAGTTGGAGTGCTTCAGTATGGGGGCCGACAACACTATGAGCGTTTCGAACCCCCTCGTAGTCGGATGTGCCCTTCGCAAAGCAGTCGTGCCAATAACCCTGCTGTCGTACCGCGTGCTTGATTCGTCTGACCAATCCCACCGTACCCGCTGGCTAAGACGGCCATTGAAGAAGATCTCGTTTGCGGCTGAAAATATGCTCTCAAGAGAATCATTGTCCAGCTCATCTTCGGCGTTGATCCGTGGGTTAATGATGCTCCGGAGGATGCGCTCATGCTTTGAGTCGGGAAACTTGCGTCGAAAGTTGGCCATGTGAGCCCGGACCCTCTCTGCTGCTATATCATCCTCTAATAACTCGGTGCCACCGCCAGGACCTGCTGGAGTCGGTTCGGCTCGGATTGAGTGACCTGATGCGGTTCTCTCCATTGCAGACGAGCTTGGTTCTGGTGACTGAGACTGTTGTTGGGTTTGCTGGTGATGAGCATGGTGGTGGTGGTGGTGGTGGTGGTGGTGATGGTGATGGTTATGCTGCTGCTGGTGATACGACGCTGCATGAAAATGAACTTGATGCCGGTAATGCTGATCGTGCATGCCCCGAGCGGCCATGAACCATGTATCCTCTTCACTTCCGCCCTTAACTGGTTGTTGATGGTAATGATGATGTTGCGACCAACTCCCAACATTGCATCCTGCACTTCCCCTGTTCACCTTCTGAGCAGATCTGTATCTCTTATATCTTGAACCGTCTTCATCGTAGTTTTCGTCGTCAACATCGGCGGTCCGGCGCTTGACCGGGAAAGGAGGGACGGAATAGGGTCGGATCGGCGGGTGCTCATGCCCGCCATACACGGGGAAGGCCATCGGACATGCTCGGCGGATAAAGAAGGGTGAGACAGAGTGAAGAGAGAAGAGTGTAATTTTCCCTTTTGCTTCAGTATAGGAAACCCAAAAGCAGAAAATTAAAATTCCCTAAGAAAAAAAAGCAAAACTGAAAGTGAAGCAAACAGGTGGTGTGACAAGGGGGGGGTTAGGTGGTGTGGCATGTGTATATAAAGGTAGGTATATAAGCGGAGCCGAGCCGGTTCTGCCTTCGAGGTTCCCAGGGAGAACTGGGGAGTGCCGATTACACGAAACGACTCGAACCGGAACCGGGTTCGCAGCAACTGAATCAGTCAGTGGCACACACCAGACTGTGAATGAAGGCCGTAAAGGTACCCAAGAAGAAGATCCAGCAGCCGATATGGTCCATCCAGTGCCACTTGACACCAACGTACAAGTACCTTAACGAACGGCAACGAGAGCCGAACTCTTCGCGGGTTTGGACCTAAAGAGATCCGCCGCCTCACTTGGCGGACGTCCAGTGGGTGGTCGGTCGTTCTTGGGATGGTCCCGGCCCCGTCCCGGCCAGAAGTCCAAAGGGCCTTTCACTTGGTAAACCCATCATTTTAGTGGTCCTCCATTGAACACGCGAGTAACCAAATGCACCTTGATGGGCGCCTAAAAAAGGACTTGGACCGCATTGGCGTTACCTCATATCATTTTGAAGATGTGGGTGCCACCTGACGTGCACTTGGGTATCTGGGGCATGTCGGAAATGATGATCATGAGAACAGCCAGGAAACAAAACATGCCAGCAGCACACAACAAAGAAAGCGAAGATCTAGAATGTTGGCAAGAGAAACTCCCCCAACCAAGCGGTCAACAAAATGGAAGTGCCCATTGCAAACCCGATAAGAATGCAACAAGGCCGGCGGGAAAATCCAAGACACCGAAGAAGACACCCAAGCAAAGTCTAGCAAGCAGGCAAGCAAGCAGCCCGGCCCAGCCCAGCCCAGCCCCAGACAACCTGGCAGTGGGGTAGCATCCGAACGGATACAGTGGCTGCCGTTCATCAGGAAGTACCTCCATGTATCGACGGAGTGTACAGGATTACACACTTCTTCCCTTGTGCATCATCGGACATGTCTTGACGCGCACTCCAAAGCATGCCGTTCGTTCGGCAGCGATCAATTACCACACTGGCATAACAGCGTACAGCGAACAGCAAACGAACAACGAAACAACAGAAAGAGTCAGCAGGTGTTTCATCTTTTTCTCTTCTGTCCAATCTGCCCGTAGATGGAGGCTTGGGGAAAAAAAACATAGAAAAGACCACACTTTCCGTTATCTCCTTTTTCCCAGCCATCTTTCTTTTCCTTCATTGTTGGGAGTTCGCTTATCCCTTTGCTCGGGTTTGCGTGTTACAGAAGAATTCAACAGAAGTTGAACTTGAGAAGTGCGAGATGTCATCCAGCCTAAAGCGGTGTGCCGAGCTGAAGAAGAAGGTGCCGTGACTTGTGGAAATCCTACTTGTAGCTGTACCATCTAGATGAACCACAGGGCCACTGTATCTCGATCCGCCTGTCAATACCAGGACGACATTCGCAACATCCGCAGGCTTTTTTTTTTTTTTTTTTTTTTTTTTTTGGGTTTTTGCTTTCTCTGTCGATGTCTGGCGCTAGGTGGTACACTACAACCGGCCGGGGGATGGGTGGATGGGTAACTTGAAGGCAACCAAAACTCTGGGGAATTCTAACCATGGATCAACCTCGCCAACAGTGGATTACCTGTTTTGGCTATACCGAGGTTCGAGGGTAGAGGTAGGTACTATCGATCGCGATTTTGAAGTCACGGGAGACTCTTAACTAACGAAAAGTAGCCTGGCATCCTGGATACCGAGTTGAAAGCAGGGGGAAATATCACAGAGAAGGAAAGTTGTCCCGTCGCTAAAACCCCTTGACTCCACTAGAGAATTGTCCGCCTCCAAAAGAGTTCCCAGGGTGGTGGTGATTAAAAGCTTTGTGCACTGACGGGATATGTAGGATCTACACCCCGTGTAGTGCACGGGGGCACCGGAGGCACAGCGGACAAGTGTCAAAAGTGGAGTCCAGCTGCTGCGCAAGGGAAATGCCGTTTACCCCCACAGTTCTGGTGGTTGTAAGGGCCCGCAGCCGGGCATCAGGCCAACGGGTCGGTCTTGGATGACCCTGAATTGGAAGCAAAAGGATGTTTTCTGAAAAGATGATTTCTGGTCCGTGGCGCAGCTGCTCACCTCAGATCTAACAATCATTTGAGATACCGGCTTTGCTGCGCTCAATGGTAGAAGGTGGTAGGATGGTTGATCCCTTAGACATAACCAGACCTCTGTGCGATAGGCCTGGGCTGACTTGCTCTGACTTGGTTCTCATTATTATTGGTCGCCTCGCTTTTGCCCATTGCCGGCTTCTCTCCCTAATCACATTTTCTCTTCCCTCAGTCCAACCTGGGGCTGACGACACTTCCGAGGAGCACCGTTCCAGGTGGTGTGGAAAAAGGTCCGGACACTCGCTGGGTCTGGTTTGGCATAAGCGTGACCGGACCTTTTTCTCAACCTTTCGTGTATATAGTGCCTTGCCAACTTGTAAGGCGGTCGAAACACAACGATGAAACAAAACGGGCCGCTTCAAACCCCAAATCCTCGAGATTGGTGTATCATGCCGGGTGGACATTCAGGCTCCAGGGAAAAATAACTACACCATCCTTACTGATCAGCTCTCTGTTCATGACCCATTCTGAGGAGTCCGGGAGACATCGATGAATCGCAATAGAGGACAAGTGTGAATACATCGCTAATCCTTGTATTGGGTATATCTCTAGCTATCCACTCAAAACGACATGCAAACGGCGTAGGAACCCTAAAACTCCTCAAAGAACCACCCATCGTTATCATCAATGAGTCAATTATCGCTGCTCGTCTTTATAGGGCACTGACATTGTATCCAGCCTCGATAGCCATTATGACCTTCGATCCGATGATATTCCAAAGTAATTGCCCGCCAACATTTAGCGGCGCACAGCATATCCATTTCCGAAACGAGTGTTAGCCAGGCAGATGGGGCGGGCAATCAGTTCAAAGAACCGTTGCCGAAGCCAAAGTGTCTCGTAAACATGATGCCGTCAGTGTGATTCTGCAATGCGCGACGCATTGTTTCAGTGTAATCTCTCTCCTCCCGCTCTTTTGCCCGTGTCTCGTCGTCGACAGCCTCAACTTGCTCCTCAAACTCCTCAGCTGTGAAGCCGGGGCGCGCGCTAAAGTTTAACAACCCTAACCTCTCACCCGTCCAAAACAGCAGGTCATTGTCGTTGATCTTCTGCTTGGCTTCGCCTGCCCGTGTCGGGAGTAGTTTCCTGGCTATGTCCGAGGAGCCTGGCATTGAGGCAAAAATAGATGGCCCTTGAGCCTGTTCGCTGTGCCCGATCCTACACCGGCGGACCTCGGTGAAGCCGTCCCTTTCGAACCACTTTATGTAGCCGGATCCGTCCGAGAAAACAATCCGGGTGCCATGGTTCGCAACCGAGAGAACCTTTGAGGCTGACGCTGACTGGCGGTTCTGGTACGCAAAGTCATCCAAGTCCCCCATCAAAGTTTTACCAGAGTCTGGTGGTGCTAGGCCATAAATCTCGAGGGAACCTTTCATGTTATAGTCTCCACCGGCGATCAAAGTTCTGCCGCCATTGAGACTCTTCGACCCCTCGACTTGTTGCAATGTGAGTTCTCCTTTGCGCCGAAGCTCACTGTCTCGCTTAGAGAAGGGGGAGGGGAGTGATGCCATGCTGCATAGTCTTGCTTTCGAGTTGATCGACCCTCTGATTCTTGACAAATTACGTCTGTCATAATGTAGGATGTGCGAAAATCGACCAGCAACGTATATGTCGTCTGACAACTCCGCTTGTTGGCCGGGCCGCTGAAGATGTAGAATACTCAACGGTCCCGGTTGCGCAAGTGATGTCCAGGAGCCAACCGGCTCGTCGCTGAAGATGTTTCTGATCCCACGTTCGTACATAGCCTGTGCGCCGGTAAAGTTAAAGTCAACTTGGTCGTCTTCAGGGGCACTTCGAAACCGTCGTCGGGAACGATAGTCGTGCAGGTGAAGTTCTAGATTCGTTCCAACGGTGAGTGGTACTGTAGGGCTGGCCGCAGATAAGGCTGTGATAGACCAAGGGAATGATTCGCAATCGACAACAGAGAGTCTCTGCAAGTCAACTTCAATAATGTCTGCTCCCCAGGAGAAGTGCCAAAGCGCACTTGAGTTAGCTTACTGAAAATTCGCACAGAACGCTCAGTTTAAATAACCTTGGGATAATGACGTACGGTTTTGGACTGCAAAAAAAGCTCGATGAAGGCTGCTGTCAACACTGACACATTCGGTAACGCCTGAGTCTACCCGTTGCGACCGCTTGCTGTTGTCTGTACCTGGGCCGTTTATCAGCAGAAGCCCGGGCGCGCTCTTAGCTAGCATCGCTCCCTTTCGTCCTCTTGTTCCATTCACGTCCCAGATGCAGACACTGCCATCGTCTAGCGGCGATACAGCAAGGAGTGTTTCATCAGAAGCTGCCTCAACACCCTGCTCAGGACGGGGATTGTCAGGCCGGTACAGAGCAACACCTCTTGCCTCAACGTATTCGGACTTGGGGCCATTAACATGGGGAAGCGGAAGCCAGTTGATGACAACGGGTGCATGACGCTGGATATACTCCTCATACCAGGAAACCCTCTCGGTAGGAAAGCAGGGGTCCCAGTTGGCCATGATCCGCATCTGCTCCTTCTTGCTGGATGCGCGAAAGCTCTTGAGAATTGTCGGCGTTGTCGGTGTCGCCCAGCTTCCATTGCCAGGAGTGTTGGTGCTGCTGCTATCGGGCGAAGGATAAGCGCCTTGCCAAATTGTCCCCATTGCACTCTCATCGGGCTGGATCTGAAATGTTCCGCTGAGGCCCTGGGTGGCTAGCCGGCCAAAGGCCCGTCGTCGTTCGAGGCTTTCGAGAAAGGAAGATTCTTGCAGGCATCGCGAACGCCAAAAGCTATTGTCTCGTCCAAGGTCTCGAAAAGCGCGGGATACCAGTTGCAGGTTCGTAATGTGCGGTGCTTCGAGGACTAGGCGAGCAACAGACAACTTGTCAGTTTATACCTCTTAACCCGTGATTGAGGTGCCTGAGGCTAGCTAGAGGGCCTTTGTGGGCTACCCCGGGTTGGAAGACAGGGGACATGTGATAGTGTAGGTGCCAGTTTAGACTTACACGATAGTATGTGGAGTTTGATCTCATTAGGAAAACTCTCAAGGCTAGGCGCCTGCGGAGTAGCAGTAGCCGCCCTCATCTGATCTCGCCCATTTCCCATTGTCGGGTTATTATGTGGGGTCCCTTTGCTGTTGGTGTCAACTCGAGGACTCTGTCTGACTTGTGACATCTGTCCCAGCCACTCAGTCCAAGCTCCCCTGAGCTACGAGTTTGGCATCGAAATCGTCTTGTAAGCAATGCTGCTGGAAGCCTGTTGTAGCTATATCTCGTGTAGGGTATCGATAAGGACAGCGTTGTGATTCGGTTTAGCGAGCGAGGACCGGGCGAGTCATGTTTACTGGGAGAGGTGCCGGCGTATATCAATGTACGAAAAGTGAAGACCAGCCCGCAGAAAGAACCTGTCGAAACACGCTGATCAGACACAAGCAGCTCTTGCGTTTGTGTGTGTGAGCGCGCGCCTGCGGAGGTGCGTTTCTGCGGTGCCTCTGCGTGTGCGATGCGATGTGTGGAAGCTTCACGAATGTTGGCTGCTCTGGGTTCACTTAGGTAGCGTAGATTGGTTCAGTTTCCCTTGATGCAATCCGGTGTGGTGGGTGATGGTTTCCAGTTGTGGCTTTGTGGATGGTTCAGGTGTCACCGGGACCGGGGGGCGGATGCCCTGCCTGTGAAGTCGAGTCCGGCCCTGTTGGGTTAGGGGTTAGGGTAGGTGTTACGGGCGTCGGGTTACCGATCGCGATGACAAGGGAAGGAACCAGTGCACGCCACCCCCACCGGCGAAGAGAGCCCAGGTCGACCACTGGACGTCCAGCTCCGGGCATGCTGCGCCCCCAGGCCGGGAACCTTACCCCACCAGAATGCCGAAATACGGACACAGACAGGGCAGGCAACTGGCGCACGGCACGGTCTGCCGGTTCTGACAATCAACAGAAAGGTCCCGTTGGTTGACTGGGTGAAGAAGGTGAAAGGCCTGGTGGGGTTAGCCTGGCCCTTTCGTCTTGGCTCCCCTGACTTTTCTGCGATAACCTAAGCTACTGGCTTCGCGATAACTAGCCGTGTGTGGGATCGTGGGTCGGTGTCAACATGGACTCGACGCCGACCAATGGGATCACGGATGCAATGCAACTTTGATAAAGCCACGCCTGTACATAAGCGGCGTGGTTTTTGCATGGACCGGTCTAGATCCTTAGAGCCTCTTCCCAACGACACTCGATGCAAGTTCACCTAACCGTCCGTGCCGTCCAAAGTTGCTTCATGTAGAGGTAGTCTACAGGGGTCGGAAACTGGACACCTGGCTTTCCGTATGGACTGGGAAAGGGTTGAGAGACTCTGAGACATAGCTGGATGATGTCACAACGTCTGTCGGTAGGGTATCTTAGTGTACAACTAGTCTGGTGTTACAGACTACATCAGTGCTATGACGGGTGTGATGGCTTTCCTAATGCTGTCAGAATCATCCACCAGACGACCTTCTTTGCTATTGGGCGATATTTGGTGTATAACCTTCCTCCCCAACTTTGGAATTCCCTATGATTCTCTTCTTTTCCATGTTCCAGCTCTCCTATCGCTAGAATCCAGTTCGGAAAACATGTAAACAAAAGAGTGGAGTGAAGCAGCACCATGAAGTAGGGGATCAGGGGCGACAACTTGCATATAGTTTGTTAAAGCTATATGTGCGAACCTTACGGTAGAATAACTCGAGACCCTGTTACATCATTTATTCAATGTACACGGAATGATATCTGGCATACGCCTCCTCTTGGCAACCCATTTCACAATCTGACACTGAATCCAGGTGACTACAATAGCCTGCATTAAGAGGACACTCGGGTCTCGATCTTCTGGAAACGGATATCTTCTTGAAACCTGCCTGGGAACGACATCAAATTTGACTTATTGAGACAGTTATAGTGTTTTTGATCGAATTATGTAGCCGATAAACTGGTAAACATAGGATGGTCTACAAGGTGTCACAGCCCTGGGGGGTCTTTATGCCGAAAGCTGCTCGATGCCGAAAGGAAAAACTATATATCTCATACGGAAGCCATGTAACTCGTGGAGTTATGCGTTTGTATCTTGTATTTCAATGCTTCCTAACCACCCTGTTCACCTGGCTGGATCTACATGCTTGTTCGAACTACTTCACAAGACAGTCAAGATGTTGAGATTGGCGAGAAGCTATGGGAAGTCACGGACCGGGTCATCCAGTTCAGTTCTCTTTCTGTATGTTGCCGGTTCAAGGGCGTACTTCTTTGTAATGGTGCGTTTGGTTCATGGCCCGCTATGTCTCCATCAAGGTTGGCCTGAATCTACAACGGGCAACACCACTCTTTGATATCAAGGTTTGTTTTCGACCACCTACACCCTACTTACTAGTGTCTTCCCCCTTTTTAAAGCCTATTACAGCTTTGAGGCATGATCATTATTGGAAATCGAATCTCCAGCTTGATTGTAGCCCTAAGCGAGCAGCGTAAATGGCAAGTCTTACGCTACCATTGCATCATGTGATCATGACAAGAACTACGACCTTGTCCCCTTCCATGCACACCAGACGACCTTGAACCAACGCTCAGTTGCGACAAGATGAAAGGTTACGGCATCCCATAGCGGCCTGTCAAGGGGACTCGCAGATTGCACCTTCCTCCACTTTGCGGCTTTGGCAGCGCGCGCCTTCCATCGTTCGCCTTTCCCAGCGCGTTTCAACCCCTAACGCGCAGACCCAAGCCGCGCTCCTTCCTTCTCAGAGCATCCAACCAGAGCGCCTCCCTACCCAATCAGGTTGGTTCTGAGCCAGAGAGCAGTGCCCAAGGTCTGGTCTCCTTCTCCCAGCTTTTCCACTTCACAACAACTTCGCAAGAGCAACTAATCATCAACTGCAACACGTTTTTGTCTGAACCAACGCTTTCAACCATCGCAAGAACCATCCAAGCACACTGCAAAGCATTTTCTTCTTGAACTGTTTTCAAACCATCATCCGCAACCAAGCCAACTTCAACCGCACTTGTCATTCATCATCTTGACCCATCGTGCTTGCTCATCCAACATCCATCAAACAACATCAACATCATGACGACCTCTACCAACTTTGGCGCTTTCACCAGCTACCTCATCGGCAACCATCATGTCAACGAGCCTACCATCAATCACATGCCCGCTTCGGTCAAGTCTGCAGGCTCGACCGTGTCGTCGCTGCCTAGAGAGCGCTCCATTACTCCGAGACATGTCTTCACCAGTCTCGACGAGGCCCATCAAGCCATCACCACCAGAGCCGCAAAACAAGCCGCACACATTACGGATAACGGCGCTCACTCTGCCTTGATCCCTGGCGAGTCATCTGCTGGCTCTTCTGTCAATGCCGTCTACTCCAAGTCGACCACCGACGCCGACGAGCATTCCGCCACCGAGTCCCACCGCTGCCCGACTCATGATGGCTTCTCCCGCGGACGTCGCATCAGTCCTACACACTTGCGTCGCCGTTCATCCAGTGTTCCTGACTTCAGCACTCGTACCCCTCCCTACCCTGACTGGGAAGAGATGACTCCGGCTGCTCGCGCCAGTTATCACGCCGCAAAGGACCCTGTTGACAACAACACTCCTGACAACTCCATCAACACGCCTCGCGAGACTGGAAGCACCGTCGAAAACATCGTGGATCAGTACCTACCTTCGGCCACCATTGACTCTTCACCCTCAGCCGACGGCCAGCACAACCAATCCACCAATGATGCAAGTGTCCACCACTCTTTGGACAATGGAGAGACCGTCGAGCCTCCTCAGACCCGAGAAAACATCACCTCTGTCCCCTTTGGCTGTACTTCAAAGCTTTATCGCATTCATGGATCCCCTCCTCGGATTCCTCAGCCGCCAATCCCTGCAGTCAATCCCTCAGTGATCCGTGCCAACCTCCCAGAGGACCATACCAGCACCCCAGAGTGTCATAACAACATCTTCCGGGAACACTCATGGTCAACCATGTCAACCGCGAGCTCTGTCGACATCAAAAACCTTCTCGATAATTGCGACGAAAACAATGTCGGGACATTTGCGACTTCCAGGAAGGGCAACCATTACGTCGAAGCCAGCCGCCACGAGTCAAACAACAACCAAGCGGCTCGTGAGACTACCACCGGCAGTGGCGCGTTGCCCAACGCAGCCTTTTCGACAGGCGGTCTTACAACAGACTCTGACGACGATCCATTCAAGTACGACCGCGGATCATACACGGTCTTCCTCCAGCCATCTCGGGAAAGAGAAGTCAGTGCTGCGCTTCACCGTGTCAGTGGCGTCAGCACCACTTGTACCAACAAGACTGACCAAACCGGCCATGCATCAGCCACGCGTGGCCCAGTTGGCTCTGCGGAACCTCCTATGCCGCCTTCAAATGGGCTCACATATTACAACTCCGTTCAGAGAGATAACAACATTCCCAACAAGCGTATCATGAAGAAACTCGATCTAAGATCTTATCCCGCCCAACACCTTGCATGGGACGACGAGTTTGATGAAGAGTTTGACGAGGTGAGAGGAATTGTCCAGTCACATGTTGGATCTGATCCTTCGCCTCTTCAGTTTGCTAACCGTGCTCTTCAACAGAACCTCGATGCTGTTAAGACCGACGGAGGTGATTGGGAGACAGTCGGATCAAACCTCGATGCTGTTAAGAGTGATGGAGGGGAGTGGGAGACAGTCGGTTCCAGTGTTGGCCAGTTCAACAGCCATCGAGCTTATGCGTCCGGGACTGGCTTCGGCAATCATTTCGGCTTAAGGACCACAGGAAGCAGCATTGCAGACTACTCTGACGCCTCAAGCCTCGCTGAAACCTTTGGCGCTTTTGCATCAACCGAAAAGATCATGCAACACCCGATGAACGGGAAGTACGACAACTACGTCATTCGGACACTCAAGGGTGATAACCGCCCAGTCTTTCTTCCCCAACCAAGGATCCATCGAGTTAACGGCTATCCCCAAGATTCATGCCGACTATTTGACCAAGCCACGGCATCAAGCAGCCAGGGCTCATCTACAAGAGCATACTTGGCCGAGAAACTCACTGCCCCGTTCCGCTCTCTGACCTTCAACAAGAACATCGATAGGAGACATCCCTATGGGAGCAATCAATCTGGCCCTGACAGCGACAAGCAACGAAGAGACCATGGCTTGGAAATAGCTAAACTCCCACCGCAAACTCCCCGAGCCCACGATTCTCTTCAAGCCGATAAATCGTTCGGCCCGGAATCGCCAGTTCAATTCAGCTTCCCATTGATCCCCTTGGAAGAGGCCGCGAGGCTGCAGGCGATGAAGCGACGAAGCGACGCGAATGACCACACCTTTCAGAGCAGTACTCGGACACGAAAGGACAGTCTTGTATCTTGCATTTCCTGGAAGGCATCCAACAAACTGACGAAGAGAGTGGCGCCCTCCACTCCGCATACCCTGCCGAGAAAGCCATTGCCCACTCACTGTCACGAGCCTGTCTCCAACCACCGCCTCTCAATCCGTATGTATGACCCTGGCTCGACATATCAGTTCCATGTGCTAACATTTTTGCAGAAAACCAAGTTACCAGCAAGGGGCGGAAGGCAACTCGTTTGTCAACCTTGAGCAGCGCTAGCCCACCAGCCCCTGGTAGACCAGTGTTCCCGCGGTCTTGCCGAAACCCTTTCAGCTCTGCCCACGGCTCAACACGGAGTGGCTCGAGCTACAGATGTTCATGGGGCATTCCCTTCGAGCGTCCTCACCTTTGGGGAAAAGATAAAAGAACCTCGCGCGCTGATGGTGAAGGTTCATATCTCCACCACATCGCCAATCTGAACGTAACTGACCCTTTCAGACTTGACGAAGAGGACGGCTACCTCTCCTGGGAAGCGCGACGCCGCCGAAAACAATTCTTCTGGTTTTTGTGTTTCCTCTGCGTCTTTCCGTTCATGGCGCCCCTCGTCTATAAAGGAACGTTTGACACGACACTGGCATGGTTCACCAAAGGAGAAGTCGGCAGCCTAAACCATCGACAACGCCGGAAAGTCTTGATTTTAGGGAGCGTCATCTCAATGCTTTGGCTGTGTGGTATTGCAGTCCTCGCAACGCTCTTAGCCACCCGCGCGAAGAATGATCGTCCTTGAAAACACCCATGTTATGCATTCTGAGACTTCGATATCAAACCGCCACTCTTGATTTTTCGCGCATCTCGCAGCCATACCACTGTCATTCAAACAACAATCCATTCTTGTGTAATTTGTTTTGCAATGAGAGCTAAAGGATGAATGGCATAAAAGGGATTGCTCATTCTGTCACTCGTTTGAAGGGATCTGGAGTTTGGCGTTTCGGCGCTGGAGAGCAAAAATATTGTCCTAGATTTGGGGTCTGCAGTGGAATGTGTGGTGGCAGTGGACTTTTGCTTCCAGTCTTGATTTTGTCTTGATTATGTCCATTTTTCATTATTGTTTTTGGAGTATTGGTGTTGGCTTTTGGTGTTGGCCTTGTCTCATTGTGCGTGGGTGAATTCGGCATGGGGTAATTCATCAGTACCAGTTTCGGCGTTTGTGTAGAGGTATGGATAAAGATGGTTGTGTTGGAGTTTTGGTCTTGGTTTTTTAGCATTCACCTTGTTCTGTTTGGTCTTGTTCTGGTCTAATTCTAATTCCGTCTGGTGTTGCGTGGAAATAGAGGCTCGGTATGGAGTACTTTCTGATTGAATGCGGCAATCGGCACGATAAAGATGGCTTTGTTGGAAGATGAATGGAGATGAACGCCGGGTGAGTAATATCAGCGGTCGCTGTTGGGATATTGAGGACACGAATTAGAAACGGAGTCTGGAGTTTAAGAATGATACGCGTGCTTTGTCTCGAGTGAAAACAACTTTTGGGTGATCTCATAATTCTTTAATAAGTGCGCAACACACCATCCAGTCTGGTGAAAATTGGTCGAAAACTGAACCTTCATTTCTCGCCGTATGGTATAACTCCGGTTTTTCCTCACAAGTTGTTGGAGCCCACAGAAACAGCACCTGGCGATGCAACATGCTAACCTAACTAGGTAAAATGTAAACAAAGCCCCTTTCTGTGCTGGCGACTTCAGCTGAGGCAACTCCCTCGTGTTCACTTTCACAACACTTGTTGCTCTTCATAGTATCTGTAGATTGGTATGTTTGACGACGCAGCGCTAGCGATAAGAGAAATGAGTGTGAAGGGTACTCACACGGGAAACAGTAGTCGGAAGACCTGTGGAACATCAAAGTCGAATTATTTCTGCATTTTGTTTTCTCGTAAGCTTCCGTAGCGTACCTCTATCCCTTTAACGGTGAAAATGGTCCATTTTGTGCCAAGACTTTGGAGACTTACTGTACTTAGCGACTTTGTTGATGCAGCCAAGCAGCGCTAGCCGGCAAATTCTGAGAGCGCATTGGTCGAGTATACCCCTGACTGCTCCACACCTGCCCTCACATTTTCTGCAGTGACAAAAGTGCTGCAAAAGCTGGTGAAAGCGAGGTAGCTGCATGGGCACAGATGTAAAGGTGGATAAAATAAGACCAGCCGATTGGCCAGATTTGGTCTTGGCACAAAATGGACCATTTTCACCGTTAAAGGGATGCAGAAAGTGCGCACCCCGCACCCCGCACTTTGCTTCGCTTCGATAGCAGCGATGATCATTTCTCGCTGGAGTCGACTAACGGGACAGGGGTCAGGGCGCTAACATCAAGCTCCCCAGCACCTGGCTTGGCATCACCATGCATTCCACGTCCGCTCTCCGCAACGGAAACAACTACAACACCAACGACAACCCAAACTTGATCCGCAACCTTCCTGGCGACGATAAACCGGGGTGAGGTACCAAGGGACTGTCATTGTCGCGTTGGAAACCTCATTGTCAACCCTAAAGCCACTTCTATCTCAAGCAGATCCACCTCGACTTACACCACCGAGTCGGTTCACGCATAACATCCACCACCTGCTACATAGATACCTACATTCAAGCGACCCGAGCATTTCGCGAACCACAAGCTCTATAGCAAGAGAGTCTCGTCCTACCCTCGGCCAACCATCCCGAAAACAATAACCCACGGATACCAACCAACCAGCCCACCATGTCTTTCAACTCGATCTCACCACCACCGACCCCTTCCGGCCCCGTCCCCGCCGGCCTCATTGATCCCGGCATCCTCGCCCCTTCCTCACTCGTAGCAATTCTCTCCGCTCTCCTAAACCCGCAGACCGGCTCCCTAACACACTTGGTCCAATCCCTCTCCGTGCTCCTCTCCGCCTCCGCCACGGGCGCCTCCCTCTCCCTCTCCTTCTTTTTGGTGCCTCGCCTTCTCGAGTCACCCACCCCGCTTATGCTCACCCAGTGGCGGCGCACTTACGAGCAGACGTTTTCCACTTTGAACCGGGCCGGCGCTGCTGCAGCGTTGGGCTATCTCTTGCTGGCTTGGCGTTTTGGAGTTCGGTACTCTTCGGAAATCTTGAGTGGTGGGAGAGGGATGCAAGCGTTGAAGTTGGTGAAGAGGGGGAGAATGTACGCTGTTGCCGGAGCGCTGTTGGTGTTGGGTATGGCGCCGTATGGGTGGGTGGTGCTCGGAGGAGTGGAGAGGAGGTTGGTGGCGAGGGCGGAGGCGGTAGAGAGGGCGATGAGGCAGAAGGGGGTGGATGTGGAGGTTGGGGAGTTGGGCGGTGGTGGGAGTAGTGGGGGGCTGAAGAGGAGGCAGTCGGTCAGGGGAAAGGGTGTGGAGAGGGAGAAGGGGAGGGAGGGTGGTGGTAAAGATGGTAAGGGGAAGGGTAAAGAAAGAGAGAAGGAAAGGGAAAGAGATGTAGAGGAGGAGGATTCTTCTAGGGAAGGTGACGATGAGGTTGGCTTGGGCGAAAAGGTGGATATGAAGGCTGTGGAAGTCGGGGCAAAGTATTGGGTTGATCAATGGGGTGTGTTGAATCTGGGCAGGGCGGCGATGATAGCTGCTTCCGCGGTTATGGGATTGAGTGCTTCGCTATGGAACTAGAACCGGGCCGAAAAGATGAATCGAAGCTGTTTGGTTGGTAAGAGACGTGAAGGAGGATTGGAGCCTACGGGAATTTGAAGCGTCACTTGGAAGAACAATTTGGATGGACAATCACAAGCTTGGTAGCATCGAGATAAGCAGGATAGTGAACCGGAGGTTTCCATTTGGGTTCATACCAACAAGTCAAATGCTATGCCTCTCTTTCGTGCGACGAAATTGGCTCTCAAAACGGCCATAGTCCTGTCAACCCTCTTTAATTTCCATCTTGCCTAGCAGACTTTCACCGGACTATCTTCCCTGGCTTCCAACCATCGCCTTTCAAGCATTCCCCCTCACATCTCACTTGGAATTTCCAGAAGAGCCGGAGCCAGAGCCGGAGCCAGAGCCAGAGCCAGAGCCGGAGCTCGAGTACGAGTTACCACTGGGCGAGGTGTACGTGGAAGATCCACTGCCGCTGTTGTAGTAAGTGCTACCGTTCGGGTTGGAGTAGTAGTAGGATCCGTTACTGTCAAGTTGTTGGCCAAATGATCAGTCGCTCCACTTCCCCAGAGAGATAGTCAAGGTCTTTCTTACGTGTTGGAGTAGTGATACGCGTTGGATCCGTTGCCATAGTCACGAGCGCAGTAGTGGTTACCCTACAGCAAGTTAGCGTGTCAGCGTTACCGGTTGCCTCTATACTGGGCTTGATATGGCCAAGCCAGCGCAATGTCATTTTTCTGGAGAAGGAGATGTGAGCGGCAGTGAAAGAGTATCTACACCATACCTGGCTGTTGGTGCCATGGCCCTTGTAGCTGTATCCGTTTCCGCTAGGCATTTTGGAGGAGGATGTGATTACTGATCAAGTCGGAAGAAAGAGAAGATCGAATTATGGCTGGTTTTTCTGCAGCGTCTGCCGGTTAAGGTCAATTGGAAAATTGGTGTTTGCGATAAAGAACAAGAGGAAGAAGAGGGCCCGAGCAGAACAGAGGGAAGAAGCCCTCTTTAAATAGAGATCAGACCTCTACGCCCAAGTCAGGGAAAGCACCAGACATTTCTGCGATGATCCCAGAACACCTTCCTGCCTGTTCCAACAAACACCTCAATAACTAGTAGGTTGTTCGCATCGCGACACGACTGAAGAAAGGTGATGCCAGTCAAACAGATAACCATTCTCATCTGTACCTAACCCACACTTGCGCGGGAGGCCCGCATGGCTTCAGCGCTAAATTTTTATCCCATCCACATAGCCTGGGGCGCTAGTCAGACCATCGACTTTGTAGACCTGACGAGTACATGAATTAATGTTAGGACCGATATAAGTCTCTTGAGCTTGACGGCTGTTCCTCCTTCGTTCAGAAAATTTGAGTGGAAAGAGAGTCACATTATAATCCGTGACTTCCTTATATATATTTATTTTATTTTTCAAGTGCTTCCTTGGGTAGGGAGTCATAGCTCCACAAAGCCAACGAGACCAATCCTTGTTCACTGGTGTTTTGGTATAAACACTACATATACGAACTGCCCGGGTGCGGCAACAACTAACATCTCTCTTATCTTCCATGGCACATCTAAAATTTCAAGCATTCAAAATTGCCGGCCATACTCTGGGTATCATTCCTGTATTTTCAGAACCAACTTTTTAAGCGAAACGCTGTCTATCCAAGAAATCAACTCTAGAGGTTGCCCTGCACGGCGCTGGTGTCGCGGTGTTCGGCGGGGGTTTCCTCGTGCTCCGACAAAAACTTCTCGGCATCGAGGGCAGCCATGCAGCCGGTACCTATGCATAACAGATTAGCAGCTCTTCCAAACCAGGTTCACGGGAGGCAATGGGTTACGTACCGGCACTGGTGATAGCCTGTCTGTACCTCTTATCCTGAACATCACCAGCAGCAAAGACACCCTCAACGCTGGTAAGGGTAGTGCCAGGCTTGGTGACAACGTAGCCATCGGCGTCAGTCTCAAGCTGGCCCTTGACGAGGGCGGTAGCAGGATCGTGACCGATGGCATAGAAAAGACCGTTGGCCTCAAGAGTCTCCTCCTTGCCAGTGGTAACATCCTTGACGACCAGGTGGCTCATGAGACCCTTGTCGTCACCCTTGACCTCGACACCGACGGTGTTGAACCTGACAGTGACCTTCTCGTGGTTCAACAACCTATGGGCCATGATGCTGCTGGCCCTCAACTTGTCCTTGCGAACCAACACTGTAACGTGGCTGCCATACTTGGTGAGGTACATGGCCTCCTCAGCAGCGGAGTCGCCACCACCAATGACAACGAGGTGCTTGTTGCGGAAAATAGGAACGGCACCATCGCAAACGGCGCAGGCAGAGATACCGTTCTGCCAGTACTTCTCCTCTCCAGGGAGATGAAGTCTGCGGGCAGAGGCGCCGGTGGCCAGGATGATGGAGTCGGCAGTGTGGTACTCCTCGGGGGACCACTCGGTAGCGTACTTGAAGGGGCGGGCAGAGAGGTCGACCTTGGCAACGGTCTCGCTGATAATTTGGGTGCCGAAACGCTCAGACTGAGCCTTCATCTTGTCCATCAGCTCCTGGCCCATGATGCCATCGGGAAAACCGGGGAAGTTCTCGATCTCGGTCGTGGTGGTGAGCTGGCCACCGGCGGCGATGCCATTGGCCATGAAGCCCTCGTAGAGTACAGCTGTACAAAGGGTGATGAATTGTTAGCGCATTGGTCCTTGTCACCACCTAATGTCGACAATCGCAATGGCATTGAAACTCACGCTTCAGCTCGGCGCGGGCCAGGTAGATGGCGGCAGTGTGGGCGGCCGGCCCAGAGCCGATGATGACTACTTTGCTGTGCATGTTTCTTTTTGTGACGGCCTGAAGTTCGGCAGGTTGAACCGGAGTGTTTTTCTTGAAGGCGGTTGCGGCAGCAGCGACTGTGAGACCAGATGCGCTGGATCGGAGAGTTCTTCTAAAGGTTGAGGAGAACAGTTTGGCGGTTGGTGGGGTTTTCGAATGGGAAACGAATCTGACAAGAGACAAGATACAAGTGGCGGAAACAGAGCCGGGGATGGTCACTGGATGGAGAATAAGAATCTACAGGAAAGGGAAGGTAACGATTTGATAATCTCTAGATTTCTTTCTCTCCCAATCTGCGATCTTGTCAGACAGTCCAGGCGATGCCAGATCAGGCGCGTTGTTCCGGCGCCATTTTTCAAATCGAGTCGCGATTTCTAATCCCGTATCTAGACCCCGGCTGCCTCGAAAAAACGGCCTGGATTTGCTTGGGGGCGAACTCGGAGGGATGGCCCGCCGTTCGAGGAAACGTCCCTCCTGGACCGCCCAGGGTCCAGGGCCATGCCCCTCTGACGTGCTCACCAAAATTCCCACTTAGATACCCATTCAGCGGGGTCGTTCCGCCTTTTACACTGGAGGCTCCTCGGTTGCAGCTCTGTGCAGTCCCGTCACCGAGGTACACAGTCCGCGGGTTGCAGCCGAGGCCCAAAGCACAAAACAAAGGTCATACCTCTAGTGCGGGTTAGGGTTATTGGCGAAGAAGGTATCTCGATTTCCATCAGATCACCTAGATTTGTAGTTAACGACACTCGACACGACACCGGAACCTAACGAACCTATCCATGAATTTCACAATTTGCTTTTCCCTTCCTGCTGCGGGACCTTAACTACTACCTTTCCCCAGGTCTCACGACCTCCCAGAGCGATCAATGCATCCGGAATTTTTTCGAGACCGACGAACTCCTTGTCGCTGAACACCGTCGGTTTGAACTTGCCCTCGGCAATCAACTTCATGATGCCTTGCCACACGGTCACCACCGTCTCCTTCTCATGAACAGCGTATTGGCCCCAATGAACACCGACGAGGCTGATGTTCTTGAGAAGAACCTTGTTCATCGCCACCTTCTCGATCTTGCCGGCAGCGAAACCGACAATCAAGATGCGGCCATTCCACGCAGTGCATTTGGTGCTCAGATCTACCAAGCCGACAGGATCGTAGACAATGTCAACACCCTTGCCTTTGGGAGTCAACTTCTTAACCATCTCGGGCCACTTGGGGTCCGTGTAGTCGACGACATGATCAGCGCCAAAGGACTTGGCGACTTCGAGCTTGTGCTTGGTTCCGGCCGTAGCAATGACAGTTGCTCCAAACGCCTTTGCAACTATTTGTGGGATTAGCAACGAAGCAGTTCATCTTCGAGGCGGGTACGTATGCCACTAACCTTGGACTGCGGCAAGACCTACACCACCGGCCGCAGCGTGAACAAGGACGAAGTCGCCCTTCTTGACGCCGGCCCGAACAACAAGGGCTCCATAGCTCGTTGGTGCCGTCACAAAGAGGCCGGCAGCATCCACAAGCGACCAGCCTTCGGGAGCTGGGAGGAGGGCCGTCTCCTTGGCCTTGACTTTGGTAGCGTACGCACCCTGGCTAGCTCCAAACACACGTGAACCGACGGGGAACTTGGGGTCCTTGAGGCCGGAAGGGGTGGCGAGAACCACGCCGGCGAACTCGGCACCTGATACCCAGGGGAATGCTAAGACGCAACGTCAGCATACTGAATGCAAGGTAAGCGGGACTCAATAAAGAAGCCGCACGTGGTTGATTCTGGTATTTGCCCTGAATCTGAAGAATGTCGAAAAAGTTGGTTGCCGCAGCATGAACTTCAATCAAGTACTCATCTGAAGCAGGTGTAGGGTCTGGAAGCTCCGTGACCCTGAGCTCTTGCGGGCTCTGAGTTAAGGGTAATGTTAGAACCACGAATTGGGAAGATGTCCTGGATGATCGAGATAGGACATACCTTAACATACTGTGCCACCTGAATGCCTCTCATCTGGGAAGGATACCTGGAGTAATAGAGTGCTTTGTTACACTGGAAAGAAGCAGACGCAGAAACACCGAGTGAGATACACAAGCAGTGAAAGAACGACAACCTATATGATAAACAACGGTATGGTTGAACAAATGCCGAATAGCCATCGCGGGGGTGACCGCTAGCCCAGTGTAAGGGAAGCCGAGGTAGCCCAGACCGGGATAGCTGAGCTCTGATTGGTCACTCACCTTGCACCTCTCGGTGAGTCCACGTCTTATCGATTTCCAACAATCGATTTGCGACTTGTTGCACTCTTTCACCAAACTCTCAACCACACCCTGCTTCAATTTTTTGAATGGCGCAACCCGCTGTGCGAACTTCTCCCGACTAAAGCCGAATTTGAAACTGGGCAAACGCAGCAAAGAATACGACTCTTGGTCAAGCGTGCATAAACCACAAGCCGCGCGCATTCTCTCGGCAAGATTCATTACGACTGGTCGCCCAGCTACGTACCTCTCCGAACCGATCGCGAACCGCTCGCGACAAAACAAGCCTACCCACCTTAAAGCCCGAATCGCACCGGCGAACCACCTTTTTCCCCCCTCACACATCCGCCGAGATGGCGACAACAACACAGACAACAACAAACTCCCTGCCCTCTGGGGCAGGAGGACCGCAACAACTCGTCACTCAGATGCTCAACCACACTGCGCCACACTATACCTTCTCCTTCACGCCCTTCCTCCAGCGCACCTACCAGCACTCTCTCCCCGCCGACCGACCCATCTGCAAAGCCTACGCCTCAGGCAACTGCCCTCTTAAATCCCACTGCCCCGAGCGCCACGTTACCGCGTCGTCCCAAAACACCCATGGCGGCGGTAACACCTTCAGCGGCGGCTTCGGCTCGCTAGTCTGCAAGCATTGGCTGCGCGGCCTCTGCAAAAAGGGCGAATCGTGCGAGTTCCTGCACGAGTACAACCTGCGCAAGATGCCCGAGTGCAATTTCTTTGTCAGGAACGGGTACTGCAGCAACGGGGACGAGTGTCTGTATCTGCACATTGATCCGCTGTCAAGATTGCCGCCGTGTCCGCATTACGAGAGGGGGTTCTGTCCGCTGGGACCGCGATGTGACAAGAAGCATTTTCGGAGGAAGCTGTGTTTGTATTACCTGGCGGGCTTTTGTCCGGATGGGAAGGGCTGCAAGGAGGGCGCGCATCCGAGGTGGACGGCGGATAAGGATATGGAGAAGCCGAGGGCGAAGGGGGAGGGAGATCAGATGCTGCTGCAGCAACAACAGCAACCACAACAACAACAACAACATATGGGCGATGCTAATGGTATGGGTGGTGGAATGGCGCAGGCGACGGGCGCGAATGAGTATATGGACCGAGAGAGGGAGCGCGATCGGGATAACAGGGAGAGGGAGATGATGATGCAGGGACGCGATAGGGACGGTGCCGGGCATGATCGCCACAAGGATCGCTTTGGAGGAGGAGGAGGAGGAGGAGGAGGAGGCAGAGGCCGAGGAGGATGGAGGGGAAGAGGAAGGGGAGGATTCAGGGGTAAAGGTCATTAAGAGAACATTGGGCCCAAAGCGGCCAAGAGAGATCAAATGGTACATGAACATAGCGACATATTCATGCTAGTGCTCGGGACGATGAGGAGGACAAGGAAGCCAGTATCAAGGACCAGGTATGCATCACGGAATAAGGAATGGGTCACACGGCGCAAAGGCAGGGTTATGTCTCATGTATTGGCTGTAGGTCAGGTTTACATTCTCAAGGCTTGTGAGATTTTTATAAAAAATTGCTAGCTTGACAGTTTTGAGGAGCTGTGATCTGTATGATCTTCCAAAATAGACTGAGAGGGACGAGATCCAAAACATGAACGCCGCTCCCTACCTAGGGCACCCGTAACCAAATGATAATCAACCCACCGTCTGAAATGCTATGGCATATGCCATTCTTATAGACACTGTCTTCTTTCGTACTCTTCCAAACTATTTCCATGCAGAATTTACTCCATCGGCACCGCAACAAACGACTCATTCGATGTGCGGGCCCCAGTCCCCACCTCCTCCTCATCCCCATTCTCGCTTCCCATAGACCTCACCGAGCCACCCGACCTTGGGCTATTAAACGAGCTATGACTCGACTGCCACGCCACCAGCTCGTCCACCGTCCGGATACCCATCATCCACGCCACCAGCCCGCGCGGCACCCAGCGTCCGACAAAACCATACACGCTCGCGCCGAGGCCGACGCGCACAGTGCCCTTGGTAATGGACCCGTCAATCACGTCAAAAACAGCATTATGCAGCTCCCGCAACGAGCTGCCGCGCATCCCGCGGATGCGGCCCGTGCTAATGGCCGAGCTCGACTGGGTGACAAAGTTCTTGCCGTAGGCGTGGCGGGCCGAGTCGGGCCAGGGCAGCAGGGACTCGGCGTCCTGGGGGTTCGCTTCCAGCGCGCGCAGCGGGACGCCCTGAGAGTTCCGCTCCTGCCAGTGTTCACGCGCGGCCGACGCGGGCGTGAAGCCGGCGAAGTCAAAGGTACCGAGCTGGATGTGGGTGACAGGGATGGCGAGCGGGCGGAGCTCGGCGGTCAGGACTTCGGTGAATGCGGAGAGGGCGGAGCACACGGTTGCTTCGGGGGCGTGGAAGGGGGGGTTGATGGAGGAAATGATGGAGGGCGTGCAGACAATGATTTTGGGGCTGTCTTTCTTCTTGTCGGTTCCGGAGGATGATGACTCGGCCGAGGGAGTAGGACCCAGGCGAGCAGTAAGCAGAGGAAGGAAGGCCTGGAGGGTTATGATAGGGTGGAGTAGGTGTGTGTTGAAGAGGTTCGCGAAGCCTGAAGGAGGAATGGTAGCGATAGGCGAGGTCTGGTAGTTCAAAGAGGGAATGAGGATGACGGCCTTGAGGTGCAACCGATGTCGCTTGCTGTTGGGGACTGCCGCATGGGGTGACTGAAGGTAGGTCGCGAAACGCTCAATGGAGGCGCTGGCGCTGAGAGGATCGGTGGTGTCGACGCCCAGAGGTCGGATATCGGGGCGTGCTAGATTCTGAATGGCAATATCGTCCTCCGGTCCGCTGGATACAATAAAGACGATGAAGCCTTTCCTTTCCAGATCCAGCGCAACTGATCGTGTCAAAGGTAGGTTGGCAGATCCCGCAATGACAACGACATCCATGCGTCCTCCGCTGCGCGCCCGCCTTGCGCGCCTGGTCTTCCTGGCGTGAGCGGAGACTGTGTATGACCGATATAGAATGGATCCGGTGGCTAGGACTATGGCGGTGGTAAGGACTTTGTTTCTTAATACCCAGCTCTCAACTCTATTGTAGAGCGAAATCGGCAGCTCGGCTGAAGGCGCTGGCGGCGGCAGCCGCGGGCGGATCTGTTCTGGTACCCATTGCGAGGTCGCGAGAGTGTGTCTGACGGTCTCGGCAATCTTGTCGACGTTCTCGTTCACGATGTTGGCGACATCTTCAGAGTAGCGCTTGATATCGCCGGGCAGGGACGATAACTATAACCGAACCAGGCCATTGTTAGTGGGGTTCTATGCGGGCACTTTGTATGTTTTCTTACCACGTCCAGAAAAGCCTGGTCGTCCGCAGACATGTTGTTTCAATTATGCGTTTGCTCAAGTCCTGTGAGGTGGCGACAGTGTGATGGTCGACAAGCTCAGTGAACAAGGAGATGCGGATTGATAAGTTGGCAAAGTCGAGTGTCGCAGTATGAGAATCGCGCCGGACTTGAGAGTGCCTCAAGTAGGAATGATGATGGGGAGAAGCTTTCTTTTATCGCTTCTATCCAACCCTTGCGCACCTTATCAAGCCGAGCTACTGCATAGGTGATGCGCCCTGAGCTAACAAGGTACCCCAGCCTTTACCCCGGCGAGGGGACTCTCCACCACCAACGTCATTCCTGTGACACGCTGAAAAGCATGCGCCTTTAAGAGAATTTTGATGTTTTTGATGACCTATCTGTCTAGCCTAGACCTAGTCGATTTCTTTGCCCCCCCATCACCATATCAACATCTCACAAAAGAAGCTTAACACGCCTAGATCTGACACTAACATCCGAATAGCCCCAAGATCCGTGTGACCTCACAACTTCCTAGCAAGCACCCTCAACCTTACATAACTATACATATACCCTCCCCCCGGCTTAGCGCATACAACCTCCAGCACATCCACCACCTCCTTGACCACCTCCTCCCTCTCCTCCTCGCTCTCCAGTGCCTGCAAAAACTGAGCAGCCATCAATCTCACCCATCCCTCCACGCCACCCACATCAGAATTTGTAGGCCTCCACTCTCTCTCTACCTTTTCCACCTTCCATCCTCCTACTTTCTCCTCCATCATCTGCCTCACCCACTCCTCGTCGGGGAAAAACCAGGGGTCCACCTCCTGTGCCCGCTTCAAACCGACTCTCCTGCCGACGGCGGCCAGTAGCGTGGCCCGGATCTCCGACACGTTGCCTAGTCCGCCCATCTCAAAGGCAAAGACGCCCCCCGGGGCAAGCACGTCGCGGACGCCCTGGAAGAAGACTTCTCGCTTTTCTTCGGGACGCAGGATCCAGTGGAGGGCGGCGTTGGAGAAGGCTTTGCTGAAGCGGACGTAGTGCAGGTGGGTTTTGGTGATGAGTTCCGTTGCGTCGAGAACTACGACAATGTGTTGGAGGGAGAGTGAGTGACACACTTTACGGTAGGGACAGGACAGTCACATCACTTACCCTCAAACGTGCAGGTGCTTTTCAGATGCGCATCATCCGATGTCTTCTCTTGAGCAGCATGAATCATGGCCCTGGAGCTGTCCACGCCGTGCAAGCGTCCTCGGCCTCCCTCAAAGACCTGGGCGATTTCAAAATCAAGAACGCCATCTGGAAAGGAAAGTTTTTCACTTGTCAGTGACGCCTTGTTCGCGAGCGTCCTTTTTCCCGGGACGGGGCCAAAACTCACCACCACAACCGATGTCCAGAATCACATCGTCTTTCTGGGGATCAAGCCATTGGACAATCTTCGTGGCCAGCTTGGGGACGAAGGAGGCGGCGGATTGATATGCCTGTGTATTCCTTGACTGGTCAGCCATTCATTCACACTCAAGCAGAAATAGGAAAGAGGAAACATCTGTGGTT